GTGTCAACCCATGGCCCACAAGACACACACAGCCAAGAGTAACACTGAATTCAGTTCCCCCATCATAAATTTATTTGAAACATTGTTAGTTTTGGATTTGAGAAATAATACAATTTCTTGTAACTCAATATTTTGTTTGAAGGCATGGATTTTGTAGATGACAGTGTTGTCACACAATATCAAAAAGCTGGACTCTAATGCACTATTTGACACTTTCACCATTAGCCTATCCAGCTTTTTTTCTGGACCTTTCCCACCCAGAAACCTTTCATCCGATCCATAATTTTATCAGAAAGTCCATCAGTTCCCTTTTTGTGTCACAGTTTGTCTTCATTTCGCAAGTCCACCATATCATGCCATAGTAATCAGGAGGCAAAGTTTAAAAATGAAACTAAACATTTGTTCTACCCCCTATTCTGCTTTAACTCAGCTAATATCAAGGCAGCAAGTGCAGGGAAGTGTATCCAGAGGTCATTTACCCAGTATGAACTGGGTTCATGAGTTAAAACTCTAGACCATTAATTGAGACAATGTCTCTCTTAATAATTAGCAAACAGAAATAATCAGCCATAAAAATATCAGCAAACATCAATCACATGTTACATTTTCTTTAAACTACATTTACTTGTTTATTGGACAATTATGCCATGGTGTATGTTGAGGTAAGAAGACAATTTTGAGGAGTAATTTCTTGATGCTCACCATGTGATTCCCAGGCACAGATCAAGTCCCTAAGTTTGGCAGCAATTGTCTTTACCACTGCTCCATATCACCACCCCCACACTTTTTAATACAACAAAATTATGCAATAATGTATCTGTTGTAATTAGGGTTTCTGTTGCTGTGCAGAGACATCATGAACATGGCAACTTTTAGAGAGGAAAATCATGTAATTATGGTGCCTTGCATTTTCAAAAATTTAGTTCCCTATCATCATGGTGCAACATGGTGGTGTTCAGGCTGACATGGTGTTGGAAATGGCGCTAAGATTTCTATCTCTTGATTTGTAGACACCAAGAAATGATCTGTCTCACTGGGTGTGGCTTGAGCATATTTGAGACTTCAAATCCCATCTGTACAGTGACAGACTTCCTCTAAAGAGATCCCACCTACTCCAACAAGGCCACACCTCTTATTGTATTGCTCCCTTTGAGATTATGGGAACCAATTACATTGAAGCTACCATAGATATTTAAGTTTCAATTTGGCACAGCCTAGAGTCAAATGAGGAAGGGATCCAAGTAAAGAGATTGTCCAGGTCACATTGGTCTGTGGGTACATCTTCAGGGATTGTCTTGATTATTAATTAATGTAGTAAAGTTCAACCTGTTTTGAGAAGCATCATTCCCCATGTACATGGTCTTGGGCTGTATGAGAAAGCTAGCTAAGGTCGAGTCTGAGCCTTCCAGCCTGCAGCATTCCTCTATGGTTTTTACTGAAGTTCCTGCTTGAGTTCCTGCCCTGGCTTCCTTTCTACATGGGAAGTAGAAAAAGACAAGATCTCGTGAGTAAATTTGGGAGCATGGGGACCTTGGGAGAGGGTTGAAGGGGAGGGGAGAGTCAGAGATGGGAGCAGAGAAAAATGTAGAGCTCAATAAAAATCACTAATAATAAAAAGAAACCATTCTCTGTGCTCAGTCAGTATTTCTGTCATTCTGGGAGTTTGTCAAAGGATCTGTATTACTTTCAAGTCTCTGAATTACCAATCCTCTTTTTATGACGTGAGGATCATTTTTTTTTATTTTTAACTTATTTAAACTGTTTTTTTCCCCAAATTCTCACTCCCTCCTCTTCTCCCACTCCCCTCCTTCTTCCTCTACAGACCCTCCCACCCTACACCCTCTAATCCTCCAATCCTACAAGAGGGCCATGCATCCCACCCTGTGGAAAGTCCAAGGCCCTCCCTACTACATCGAGGTTGAGCAAGGTTTATATCCAAAGGGAATAGGATCCCAAGAATCTGGTACATGCAGTAGAGACAAATCCCAGTGTCACTATCAGTGGCCCCTCAGTCTGCCCCAACTGTCAACCCTCTTCAGAGGGGCTTGGTTGTTCCCATTCTTGATCACTCCTAGTCCAGTTGGAGTTGGTGAGCTACCATTAGCTCAAGCAAACTGTCTCAGTGGATGAACCCCTCATGGTCTTGAATTCTTTGCTCATAATCTCACTCCTTCCACTCTTCATCTGGGTCTTGGGAGCTCAGTCCAGTGTCCTATGTGGGTCATTGGATCTGTTCCCATTTGTTGTTAGAGTTTCTATGGTGATATTTAAGATAACCACCAATCTGACTACAGGGTAAGGCCAGTTTAGACACCATCTCCTCTATTGCTTAGGGTCTTAGCTGGGGACATCCCTGTGGGTTCTTGGGTATTTTTCTAGAACTGGAATTCTTGCTAACTCCATAATGACTTCCTCAATCAAGATATCTCTTTCTTTTCTCTCATATCTGTCCTTCCTCCATCCCTACTATTCCATTCCTTCAAGTTCGAGGATCATTGTTTTTAGTCCATACTTACAGCTTTTTGAGGGTTTGTTAGGAATACGTATTATATATTGAAACTTAAAATGCTGTGTATTGGTTGTGCTTTGTTCCATGATAGTTGGTATATTGGAAGATTGGCCATAAATCTGATCATATTAAGAGATAGTGAGACCTTGAAAGATGTAGAACCTAATAAGAGGCCATCCCTGGGAATTCCTGAGCTCTGCCTCTTGTCTTATCCAAGGGACATACTGAGATTCAGCTCCCTGCTTCCCAGCTGATGAATCCTCAGCAGCAACCATGGTTCATATTGGCTTAAGCGTAGTTGATGCAGATGGTAGATGCATCCACATGGTGTTTGGTCTTTCAGACTCACAGAATGCAAGAGTGATGGAGTCATGGGTGCTTCCAACAACATTTTCAAAGAAAGTTTTGGGGGTCAGACAGATGTCAGCAGCAGTATTAAAGCCCCTAAAGAATGTCCTCAAATGGGTTAGAGGTATAAAAATCAAGCTGAGAGTCATACTTTATTTTTTTTTAGATTTATTTATCATGAAGACAGTGTTTTATCTGTCTGTATGCTTGCTGGCCAGAAGAGGGCACCAGATCCCATTACAGATGGCTGTGAGCCACCATGTGGTTGCTGGGAATTGAATTCAGGACCTCTGGAAGAGCAGCCAGTGCTCTTAACCTCTGAGCCATCTCTCCAGCCCCTGAGAGTCATACTTAAGAAGAGGCAGAGCAACTTAGAGTATGACATACCTACTTCTGAAAGCTGTAGTCAGTGTAGGAAGCCAGCTCAATCAAGTAGATAATCGCCTAGCCTCTCACAAGCCAAATCATGGAAACAGAGATGTCCAAGATCATGTGACCCTGCTGTAGTGTGCACAGATCATTATTCTTGGTGATTTAGGACTTAATGCTTGCCTTGGTAGGTTTTTCCTCCCCTTGCAGTGTACCTGAAAGTATGCCACAACTTGTTTTTCAGTTCTCATACTGACTTCCAGGTTGTTTGTCCTGAGCCTCAGCGGAGACTTTGACCTTAGACTTCTGAGTGATGTTGGAACGACACAAGACTTTGGCACTATTGGCATGAAATGAACACATTCATGTTCTGACAGCGACGTGAACTATGAGGGTCAAGTGCAGAATGCTGTGGTTTGGTTGTGGATTGTTTCTCCAAGAGCCCATATATGGGAAGTCTGGTTTCCAGTGTCCCAATGTTAAAAAGTAGTGGGACCACTAAAAGGGACAGAACTTATTGACTCTTTTTTTTTCAATATAGTACTTCCCCCACTTTTTAATTGATTTTTATTGAGCTCTACTTCATGCCTCTCTCTTCCCCTTCAACCCTTTCCCATGGTCCCTATGCTCCCAATTTACTCAGGAGATCTTGTCTTTTTCTACTTCCAGTGTAGATTAGATCCAGGTATGTCTCTCTTAGGGTCATCATTGTTGTCTAGGTTTTCTGGGATTGTGATTTCTAGGCTGATTTTCTTTGTTTTATGTTTCAAAACCACTTAACAGTAAGTACACATGATAATTCTCTTTCTGGGTCTGGGTTACTTCACTCCAAATGATGTATTCTAGCACCATCCATTTTCTGCAAATTTCAAGATGTCATTTTTTCTGCTGTATAGTACTCCATTGTGTAAATGTACCACATTTTCCAT